ACATAAAAAGAAAATTATATTGCAATTGGCATTTAGGCGAAAATTACGTTTTAATAAACATATTTTAATTTTTCTCGTTTGCGTCCTCAACCGAACCTATACAGGGTGAATCTTAAATAAGTGCAAATCAAGATTATGAGGAATTTTTCGAGGAAAAAACTGTAAATTTGGAGTTTTTTGAAAAAAAATTCGGAAATTTTTTTAGTTTTTAGTGAAAAAACATAATTTTTTGATAATATGATAACATAAGTAGTAGATTAAATTTACAAGAAATAAAACCCAGAAAAGACACAGTGGTTCTCAAAATTTAACAAAAAATCCGAAGGGTAAACCGCTAATGTATTTTGGTGTACAAGATGTTGGCACTATTTGATATTAGTGGTATTAATCGTGGTACAGTTGGCATTATTTATTGGTATTAGTGTCCAGAAATTTGACAGCGGTTTACCCCTCAAAATCATTTCTTTTGGAAATTTTCAAAGTAAAATAACTCGGTTATTTTGGACTTATTTGAAAAACGGTAAAGAGATATAAAAAATATGTTTCTTTATCGAAAACTACCAGCCTATAAAATATTTGCACTTAGTTAGCACGGAACGTAACGCACAGAACGTTTTAGAATTCACTAATTAGTTTAATCATACCTGTGAAGTTGTTTCTGTTACTGATTCAGTTGTATATGCTGCATGTGAAGATTGCCCAACGACAAACACTAAATATTCACTTTTCATGATTTTGTATTTCAAATAATCACACAAATTTCCGTTAAGATTAACATTAAGTCTTGCGTTTGCTTGCGAAGTGCTTCATAAATTAAAAATACTTGCCGTTCTTTCTTTATCTGTGTTCTTTATTCAGTACATCTTGTACTGATATTTTCTTCGTATATACGAAAATCGGCGCTCGAGGTCAGAAATGACAACCTGGTATTATACAATATCATATACAGAGACAAATAACAGCAAATAATTTATCAACAAAAACCGACACATTAATAAATTTAAGCTTAAACAAACTTTTTATTTTGAAATGTCAAAAATCAAACAAAAATCATAGCCTCCTAATAGGTATTTCCTCAAGTCTGCGCTGGATCTGCGCTCTGCGCGTAGAAAGGGATATAGACATGAGCTACACTATCGATAGTTTTGTTGATACCGAATATCGATAATAAAAGAATTATTATTAGATTTAAAAATGGGCAGTAAATTACAGTTGTGTAATATAAAATACTTTTTTTTCAAACGTCACAAAAGTATTATTTTTTTCGACGTGATTGACAATATAAAAAAATCATTTTAACGTCTAGGCATAAAAGTAAAGCTCTTTTACGCCTAAAGCTTGATTTTCATGCATCCGTTATACGTTGATACGTTGGTCCGATGGTGCTCTGATTGGTCATAGCGTCTTCGCGTCACTTTTCATCCGTAAATATTTTACTTTAGCCCGGACCAGAGCTAACGGACCCGTTCATACACTTTTAACACTTTTTTGACAAATGTAATCTAATCTTAAAAAAATATAAGTAAAATAGCAAAATCGTTATGGAAACGAAAATATAAAATGACACCAACGTATATCCGATAAACGGAGGCATGAAAGTGCAATAAATTTAAAAACTGCGTTATTTTCTAACCAATCAAAGTCTTTAAATTCTACCAATAAAATTAATATCGTATCAACGTATCGTCGGACAAAGGATGCATGAAAATCAAGCCTAAGCATAAAAGTACGAAAATATATTATTAAACTGACATAGAGTGTCAAATTCAACGAGCCACAACCATAGTTTCTCGATATATGTACAGGGTTAGTCAACGATAGAGTAAAGTCCATTATCTCAATTGTTTCAAGGTTTACAAAAAAATTAAATATAAAAGTTATAGGAAAAGGTTAAGATACACAAGTAGGGGTAGAAGGCCGATTCTGCATCAGGAGCAGGAGCAGAGCGCACAGCGCATGCGCGTAAATGAGCTAGGAACATGTAAAATAGGCTAATAAACAAGAATAAACGGGTTTGAACCGCTTTGAACCGCTTTTGAACAGCTTTGAACGGGTTTGAACAAAAACTGAACAGGTCTGTTGTTTTACGCTAAAAAGCTGTTCAAAGCTGTTCAAAAAGCTGTTCAAAGCAGTTCAAACTTTGTTATTCTTGTTTATTACCCTATTTTATGTTCCAGCTGATAAACGCATGCGCTATTCGCTCTGCTCATCGTATCTTTCCGCATTCAAAATTGTTCTGCATACCTTCAAAAAGTGTGGCGAATATAATATAGGTATGCTTTTTTAAATGCAGCACCCTATTTTTTTGTTTATTTTTATATTCTGCGTAAAATTTCATAATTTTTTTATATATAATGTTATATACCTAAAATTAATACTTTTTGTAATATTTCAATTTGTTTAAACAAATGTTAAATTGCAATGTGGTAAAAAATTGTCAGTGGTGCCATTGTTTCTAGTAGTGGGAAGTATCGAATGAATACTATCGAAACATTCGATAGTTGTAATTCATTGGAATAATTCGATAGTTAGAAAACATTCGTTGAAAACTATTCGAATAAAAATTATCGAATAGATCCGTCATCTGCCTTGAAATATTGTATTCTAGTAATTCGACAGCAAAAACCATTCATTTATAAAATTCATTCATTTATGAAATTCATTTATTCGTCAGGATCGATTATAATAAAATATTAACTGAATTTTAGTTGTCGCCCGGCGACGTAGGTTTCTTTCCGAGAAACCCGACAGCAGTCGGTGGCAATGCTATGAAAGAAGCCGGCATCTTTGATTTTTTGCGGAGTCAGATATAGATAAGGACACATTATTTTTTTTATTGAGGTGCTAGTATTTACACAGAAAATACATTATGAAGGGCGCTGTTGCCATATTTTGGCATTAGTTGATATTAGCAAAGAATATTATTGTTTGGCTTTAGTTAGTTAGGGATAGTATGTCTATATATTCTGCATTTTTTTTTATTAATATTCTGTTGTTACACTGCAATAATACTTGTTATTTTGGATGTAAGAACATGAAAGTGATTTTTAATGTTTTTAAGCAAAGACTGGTTTAATAAATAATAATAACAGTAATAATTTGTTATACCTATTAACAACAAAATTTAAAATGATTTAATATCAATATTTTTTTAAGTAGTAGCAAAATATAAACAACAAATTAGATGTCAAAATTATTTATATTAGATCCTATTTAAAAATAATATAGTCTTTAAATTTTTTGGCAACGTTGGTTTGTTAAATAATAATAATTACAGAACTAATTTGTTATATTAACAACAAATTTTAAAATCATGAAATATAAACATTTATTAATTTTCTAAGCATGCAGTGTAATGGAACGAAAATATAAATAAAAAATTAGAAATCAAAATTATTTATATTAGGTGCTTTATATCTCTATTTAAAAATTATATTAATTAATTATATTACTTTTACTGGCATTTACTTTAAAAAATAAATGAAATATTTCTTCGCAAAAAACTACATGTAAGAGAATTAGCATAAACAAAATACAAACATCGTTAACTTTTTTTTAAAATTGGCACGTGTAAAACTTTCATTTTAATTTTCTCACCCCATAGTTTGAGTTCGATAACCATTTACTTAACCACATTACTTTAATATGATTATTAAGTTCAACTAATTCATATTATTAAAACATCTAAAATACAAATATGTACTTTTAAAATTAATTTAAGTTCATCTCATCTCTCTTAAAAATTGCTACTTCTCAAAATTTCCCATTAAAAAATAGACCATATACCATATAAAATTAAATAATTGAAAGATCGGACTACGGAAAACCACACAACTTTTCGGAAAAATTTTGACCACCTGCACATGCACACAATCGTCAATAAATAAAATTAAAAAATAACTACTATTTTAGTATTTTAACTATTTTAATAAACGCAAAAATAGCACAGTGTTTATACGGCGAAGTTATAAAAATTTGGAAGAACTAATAATGCACTGACGCATACAAAAATCAAACGAATACTAAATTTCATTTATCAAAAGCATTCGATAGTCGTGGCTCAACGATAACCATTTAGTCGAACGGCGAGGTTATCACATATGCTTTAGTATACAAATAAATGAATGATTTTATTCGAATAAAACCATTCGATAGTTGAAATCATTCATTCATTAACCATTCGATAGTCTAATTCATTCAATAGTTCCCATCGCTAATTGTTTCTGAAGTTGGAGGACTAAAATTTGGTAGGAGAGTTTTATAGAGATCAAAAAAAAGATATATGTAAAGATATTTTAGTTAAATGATACAGGGTGTTCAAAATATATTTATTATGTACCTACTAACATAATAAATATATTTTGATTTGGATCACTAACATAATAAATATATTTTATTTTTTTGAAACTAAAATTAATAATAACCATTTAACAAAGAATGAAATTGAATTGATATTTCCATAGAAACGCCTTTTGATTTTTAGGATTTAGAAAAAATTCAACTATATTTTTATGGTTTTCTTAACTTTCTCCAAAACGGCATGGAAATTTAAGTATAAACGGGATTAACCATTTTATGGAATGCAACATTTTTTATGAAGAATGCATTTTTCTCAAAATGTCAATATTAAAAATTTTTCCTTTGTAAAGACAATCCGAGGGACATACTGTAGAACAATAAATAATAAATCATATCAAAATATTTAAAATAATCGAAGTTGGAAGAAGAAAAAAAATTGTTTAAAACATATTTTAATATAAAATTAAAATTTATTCTTTTAAGAGTATGTATTACAAATTATTAATTTTTAGATTTTAAACAAAGTATTTTATAATACCAAACTCTAATTGATTGCCCATTCTTATACTAATAATTATTTTTACTATCGATATTGGGTAATAACAGAACTGTCGATAGTACTGCTCATGCCTATATCCCTCTCCACACTCCCACACCGCATACTCCCGGAAAAGTAACCTAGGTGGCTATGCATTTTTTTTGTTTGACATTTCAAAATAAACATTTTATTTTAGATCAAATTTGGACCAAATTTATTAGTTCATCGGTTTTTAGTTCTTATATTATAATGTAAGTTTATACAGAGTAGGTTGATCTAATACACAAATTGATATTTTAAAAATTTTAGCCATGGTTTTGCATGAAATCAAGCGTCGGATTACCTAAATGGTTATATAATAATAAATACTTTGCTTCGCAGTTACTGCTAGACCCCTAGACGTGTAAACACAAACACTGACTCATAACTTCGCTTGCTGAAACGAAATGATTACATCAAAAGTGAGCATTTTGTGTACAAAGAACAGATATGTTTTATTTTTATGGAAATTCTTCACATCCATCATATACAACTCTGTAAAAGTCACAGGTCACAGGAATAACTTCACAGGTATGTTTATTTTAGACTAATATTAGTAAATTTTGGACATCCAGGTTATAAAAAATAATGCTTTTATTCCTTATCTTAAACATGAAAAGCGCTAGAATAATGCAATTTTATGAGACTATTACTACTACCCTTGATTAGGCTACTACCTTACTTTAGTCTAAGGCTACTACCGTATGATCGAAAAAAAAACGGTGTCAAAGATTCTTAATTTTGACTAGGTAAATACCGTATGATCGAATAAAAACGGCGTCAGCGATGGCTATGAAATGAAGATCGCTGTCATTTTATATGTAAAATTATATGGAAAATGTCATCGATCGTCATTTCCAAGCCAACTGGACGCCGTTTTTTTTCGATCATACGGTATTTGGCGCTATTCTTAAAAGGTCGCTCTCCAAAGCTTTTGATAATTTCGGAGCGGTTCGGCTTTTTCCGGAATTGGGTCGCCAAATATTACTTATTCAAATTTATTCTTTTCTTTTAATTTTTTCCTCCTTAAGGCCAGCTGACCGTAAGCACCATTAAAAAATTAAGAAGAGTATGCGCCAAGTAAATGACGTCTCTCGGGCTTGACCTCGCTAGAATTATTATCGATTGTCATTCCCCAGCCGTCTTGGACGCCGTTTTTTTCGATCGTTTGGTATTTAATGGTTATATATTTGTTTCTTATTTTCTTTCCGTTCTCGGTAGGTTTTTCGAAAACCGTACAGAAATATAAACGATTAGAATGAAATAAAAGAAAAAGGAACCTTTTCCAAGAAAGTCGTGATTTGAAGTTTTTTTTCCTTAGGTCCATAAATATTGAGAATGATAAAAAAATTCTCTCTTTCTGTTGCAAAATGGCTTTATTATGATCGGAAGGAAAAGTTTCTTTCTTGGAAGTCGGGGAATAAAATTGACATGAAAACGAATCACACAGTAATAGCAATAAATCATTATTTTGACGGGTCTGTTTCTTATTTCGAGTTTTATTATCTTGTTTAACGGATATTTCAGAAATTTGTCTTTAGAAGAGAAATAGTTATTCCACATCGAAAAAATAAAATTCCAGTCTTGCAATGCATGTCTTTGAAAGTTATAGTTATTCTATAGTTAGTCTCAAGTTTAGTTGTTGCAAAAAGGTTGATATAAGTGTGATCTAATCAATAAACCATCAATATTTATAGTAACCGTATACAATAGAGCAATACAGGGCCAGGCAATAGTACAAACCTAAAGTCTGTTCTAGGATGCATTTCAGGAAAATATTTTAACTTTTATAGGGTGGCTCAAAAAAGTGTAAATGGATGGGGAAGTTTTTTTTTAAATGGAACACCCTGTATATTATTGCATTTTCGGCTTCCTTTCAGACCATTTTACATAATCCATAAGATATGCGTAAATACATATATTTTGATAGTTTCTCATATTAATAAATAAATTAAAAATATATATTTTTTAGCCTTTTAAAAAAAAATATTAAAAACAAGAACTGTGCTGAAATCAAAACTATATTAGGTATTTACTTTAGATGCTGTACTTTCTTTGCTATAAATATTGTAATCGTAAATCATAGAGGATGTTCAAAATTCTACGCCAAACTTTCTAAAATATAACATAATTTGTCTTCTTTTTCACACAAACATGTCAATGTAGTATTGAGCAATAAGAAGGAGCGGAAGAGCGAAACAGCTTGCCCAGCAGTTAAAAGACCATACCATAACTTGGTATACTGATGCTTCCAAAACCAATACGGGAACAGGGATCGGAGTGTTTGGGCCGAGAGCTAATTACTCCGAACCAATGGGCACTTACCCTAGTATCCTACAGACTCTCTACGCTATCGAGAGATGCGTACAACTTATCTTAGATAGGAACTATCGGAAACAAGAAATAGCCATCTTGTCTGATAGTCAAGCAGCGTTAAAGGCGATCAACTCAGTATCAATCAATTCGAAATTGGTCAAAGAATGCATAGAAGCTGAATAAATTAGGCAAAGAAAACAAAGTCCTCCTACACTGGGTGCCTGCTCACCAAGGGATAGAGGCAATGAAAAAGCAAATAATCTAGCTAGGAAAGGAGCGAACACTCCACTAACTGGACCAGAACCGTTCTGCTTTCCAAGTGGTAACCAACTCAAGGCGGAACTCAAGAACTTGGAAGATTCCATCCGCAACCTGGAATGGAAATCTTTGCAATGGTCTAAGACACTCGAAGAAGTTTCTGAGGGCTTATGATCAAGAAAATCACAGATCTTCCTGGGTCTGAGTAAGAACAATCTTCGGATTGTCACGGGGTTTTTAACACGACATTGTCTCCTCAATGAACACCTCAGTAGATTGAGACTAAGAAGAAACAGCGAATGCAGATTCTGTGGGGAAGATGGGGAAACACCAGTACACCTTATCACTGAGTGCGCCGAGACGACAACCATTCGTGCCATGAATTTTGGTACGACTGATATTGGAGATGGAGAACTACCCTCTATAAAACCGTCCCAGATACTGGCTTTTGTCAAAGCCCTGGGACTGTATGATGAGTTATGATTCAAGAAAGGGGGGACACAATGGATCTGTAAGGTCGAAGTGATTAACCCCCCTCCCACTCATTCTAAATTCTAAAATTCTAAAATTTCTTCTTTTTTCAAATGGAACACTCCATGTTTTTTTCAATAGACGGAGGATTAAAAAAATAACATTTTTTATATACTGAAAGAGCCATATGAAATAATACTGCACGTATAAAAATTGTGAAATACTTTAAATACAAAAAATATTCATTTTTTAACTCTCCATTAATAAAAAAATAATACACAAGGTATTCCAATTAAAAAACAAAGAAAAATTATTTCATATTTTAGAAAGTTCGGCGTAGAATTTTGAACACCTTGTATGATTTAAGATTACGATATTTATAGCAAAGTAAATATAGACCATATAAAGTAAATACCTAATATACCTTTGATTTCAGGACAGTTCTTGTATTTGTAATAACTATATAATTTTTTAGGGGGGTTGAAAAATAATATTGTTTATTTATTTATTAATATCTCTGAAATTATCGAAATATATTTACTCATATCTTAGGATTATATAAAGTGATCCGAAAGGAAGCAAAAATTGCAATAATATACAGGGTGTTCCATTTAAAAAAAATCATCCGGATCCAATCACACTTTTTTGAGCCACCCTATAGAAGTTAAAATATTTTCCTGAAATACATCCTCGTAAATACTTTAGGTCTGCATTTAAATAAAATTCTCAAGTTTTTTATTCTAGGGGCTAATGATGTCCGACGCACTTTTGCCAAACCTTGTAGAAATAAAGGTGTTTAATATTGGTATGGTCACTATTTTAATTTAATAAAAACAATTTATAACAAAGTTGTCGAAAAGATGCTTCCATAGACACTAAATAAAATACCTGACTTGGATTTACATGAGATCTGATAAATTTTTGTAGTGGAAGAATTGCTTTCAAGACTTATTGAAAGGAGGAACTTATTGATTTCAATTTTTATATCTAAAATCTTTATTCATCGTTATTATAATATTTAATCTACGACAATGTCATTATGACACATCTTTGGATTTGGGTGTCATTACGGCTTTCATAATAGCACTAGTGCTATTATGAATTCATAATAACAAGCAAATTTTAAAATAAGAAACAAGCAAAAAAGGTACCTAAATACGTTTATTTATTGTAAACATTAATTATAATATCAGTACAATTGGTTAAATTAATTCCAGACGATGACGGGTGAGTTGAATTTTTAGAAAGTAAATTTATTTAATATTATTTTTTGCTTTTTGCTAAAACTGAACGTTTAACACAAAATTGAACATCAATAATTGAGTTGCCAAAGTCAAAATGGAAACAATCAACAAGCACGATTACCTCGGCTGACCTGATAATTTTGAATTAATTAATTTTTGTGAGGATATCTCTGATATTTTAAATTAAATCATATTTCTTTGGATTGTCCCTCGTGTCGCGTTGTAGATTAAATTTTGAATGATACACGTTCGATACGAACTTTTTAATGAAACTTGTGTAACGTTACACGCGTTTCATTATGATGTTCGTATCGAACTTGTATCATTAATAACTATAATGATTCGTTAAGCACAAAATTCATTTCAATAATTATCAAAACATCATCTACAGTTAAGTATATTTTTTCTGGTAGCATACTATAACTGTACACAACGTGACACTGTTTTTTGATTGGCACAGAGGCAAAAAAAGATAGAAAATATTACTCTCTCAAATGCTTTCCATCTGCCAATAAAAGTTCAATCAAAATCGGTTCATCTAGTATATTGGACATAGAACTGGTAAAAAAATACAAACGTATGTTCGGATTTTATGCATTTACATCAAAAACCACACAGACATTTCAATTTTGTTTATTATAGTAGTACCGTATGATCGAAAAAAAAAACACCGTCAAAGACGACTGGGGAATGATAATCGATGATAATTTTGGCGAGGTTAATCTCTAGACGTAATTTACTAAAAATTGACATAAAACTTGTCAAAAATTACGACTAATTATAGAAAAATTAAAAATGAATATAACAGATGTAAGTATGGACCAAGAAAATTACGTCTAGGGTTTGACCTCGTACAAAATTATTATCGATTGTCATTCACAGCCGTCTTTGATGCCATTTTTTTTCGATCGTGTGGTAGTATCGAGGGTAGTTAGTACATAGCTTTTTTTCTATAACACACTATGACAATTGGAGTCTGTACTATCCAAAATATACAGGGTGTTTCAAAACAAATGCGAAAAACTTCAGGGGGTGATTCCTTGTTCAAAATAAAGGGTAGTTTGCTTCATAAACGTTGGGTCAAAAGTCAACCATTAGGGAGATATTGCGGTACAAAGATGGCGGAAAAATAATGTTTTTATTTTTTATCTTGAAAACGAAAAGAGATAGACTAATGAAATTTTACGGAAGCATTGCTATTATGAAAACACACTTTCTGGTAATTTTTCACTTTTTAAAATGAGTGGAAGGGGTTGAAATAAACTACCCCTTTCATTCTTGTTAACGAAATTTAAAGAAAAATCTTATCAAACACATGCAAAAAAATTAATTTGGATAGTTTAGTTTGTTTAGAAACTTTTTTATCTCTTGTATTTTTTGATAAAACTCACCGATTTGAAATTCAAAAATAAATGTAAAGCATTACATGTCAGGACAAAAACATTTTCTGATAAAAGAATCTAGTGGGCTGCTGTAATTTTTTAGGAAAAAATCTAGTCGGCCGCTGTTACTTTTTAGGATGTTCCTAATATTATTTTATTTGACATTACTCTACTGCAATACGTTATTATCTAAATGATTATTATTATCGTTATTATCACTAGATTCTTAATCTAAAAATGTTTTTGTCCTGACATGTAATGCTTTACATTTTATTTTTTAATTTTCAATCGGTGAGTTTTATCAAAAAAACACAAGAGGTAAAAAAGTTTCTAAACAAACTAAACTATCCAAATTTGCATGTGTTTGATAAGATTTTTCTTTAAATTTCGTTAACAAGAATGATAGGGGTAGTTTATTTCAACCCTTCCACTCATTTTAAAAAAGTAATAAAATTACCTGAAAGTGAGTGTTTTCATAACAGTAATGCTTCCATAAAATTTCATTAGTCTATCTCTTTTCGTTTTCAAGATAAAAAATAAATACATAATTTTTCCGCCATCTTTGTACCGCGATATCTCCCCAATGGTTGACTTTTGAGCCAACGTTTATAAAGCAAACTACCCTTTATTTTGAACAAGGAATCACCCCCTAAAGTTTTTCGCATTTGTTTTGAAACACCCT